TAATAAAACAGCTATAGCTATGCCAATCATACTGGTATAAATGGGAGGAATTCTTACAATGTTCATAATTACTTTCTGAGGTCCCAGGAAAATATTTGTATGCACTGGTCAGCATACACTTTAGATGTCAGGTTTGTATTAAATATTTCAAGTTGCATTTGCGGAAAGTTCTTAGATATCGGGGAGAAAAAGGCATGTATTCTATCTAAAAAGAAAATAGATGTTAGGAATTTATGGTACCTTAAATCTGATAGCAGATGGTGGCTACAGAATGTAGTTATCATAGCCTTTTGAATTCTGCCTAGGTTAACATTTCTCTAGAATTGTAGTCCTAATTATCAGAACTTGAATTTGGGGATCTGTTCTATGTACTAAGGATATATACAATATATAATTTTAATAACTGCGTAGATTCAATCTGGGGTTTGCAGATAAATACACTATGCAACCAGTAGTATCAGAAGGAATAAGGAAAAATCTGTGTTTTCAGGTAGAATCTCAGCACTTTCTCAGAAATCCCATACCTTTAAAATGCCTTACATTTTGTGAATTTTCTGTTCCTCAGTTTTGGGGTACCTATCACAGTAAAATCTTTTGCTAACATGCAATAAACTAGTTATCTCAATTATTTATCTCAATTAATACTCAGAAAATGATGGTGTACTGAAATCCAAATGAAGTATTAATAGCAGAATAAACCATTTTAAGTCATAAAATTCTGAATGCTGTTTTTCCTGCAGTGTGGTTCCTCAATCTAAAGGCATATCCTATACTTTTATCATATGTATGACTAAATTGAATTCTGCATTTAACAGGGAGAAAAGGTTTCAGGATTATTTAATGTAAAAAGCCAAAGCCCCCATCTGTGATTTTCAGCAAAGCTCACCTAACACTCTAAAACGTACAAGTCTGAGATTAAGTGTGCAATTTTGCCTGTAAAAAAACACAAATAACCCGAACAGGCCAGCCAAGCTTTGTGTTCACTGAGCTAAAGGAAAGGATTGTCTTCACAGAGAGTGAAAAGTATCCAGTGTTTCTGGACAGTCTGCATCCATGTGTGTAGGTCTGCCTCCCTATTGTTTCACAACACCACTCGAAATTGCTGGTGCTATTTCCACTCCTTTCACCTGACCCTGCCAGTGTAGCTACCAGAGCAACTGAAGGCAAGGTGATGATGGTGTGAATACTGATCCTCAGCTGCTTGCTGATTCTTGGGCATCATGTTTTCTGCAGCATAGAACTCTACCAAGTATTCCTAAATAAATAATTCCCAGATAACTAATCCAGAATTAGACACTGTCTTTCAATTATTGCTCTTTCAACTAGCTGTTCATGCTCCTTAAAAATCCCCTCTGCAAACTTATCTGCCAGTCAATTTAGTGTGAGCAGCACAGCACATTGTCTGTGTAAATGGTATTTGTTCTGCAACCATTGCAAGCTTCTTTGCAGTATTTTAACATTTGATTTAATTTTTCTTTACCAGTTTTAGCCAAAATCTAGTTCACATCTTCTTAAGTCCAGATCTATTTCCTCTATTTTTAAGATTCTTTTAATAACCAAGACAAAAGAAATTCTGACAGGAGGTGCACCTGTTTATTGCTAGTTTGAATTAGACTGAGTATAACCCTAGTAGATGGAAACTGTGTGTGTGTTTCTGTGTGTATGTGTGTGTTTCACAGTGCACTAAATAAAGATGAGGATAATATTTTTCATATAATTATAATTTTAATTTTAGATGTGTCAAATCACTCACATGTTGTTTTTCTCAAAATATATGAAGCATAAATTGTAAATTTTGAGAAGACATCTTCAGCTAGAAATTCTGATCGATGGAAATAATGTGATCTTATCCACTATATAAATAGTGTAAGCAGCCACCTTTAAAATTTTACATGTATGTGGCATACAAAAAGAGCTCATGGGAGATTTGAGACACTTGCACATACTTGTCTTGTGGTACTGATACTTTTTGATTCCCATTCATTTAACACTGAAATAGAGAACATTCACTTCCACCTGTGAACTAACTTGTAACTCCCTCATATTCTGTGAGATTATACCTCAAAATCCAGAACTCAGTAACAAAGCATGGCACTAAGTCAGGTACCTGTCTTTTTGCTTAGCCAGTGGTAATCATTTCTAGAAAAACACCAACATATCTGATGCACCGTGGCTGGTCTCAGGTGCAAAAGGTATTTTCCTGAAAATTCAAAATAGCAACATGTATCTAGGCCAGATTTCAACAGATTAAGTCCATCACATTAAACTCTACTTTCAAAATCACATCTGCAATTGATTATAAATACACTACGCAGTGTGTACAGTTCAAGATTCATGAAGCTCTGAAATGCCTAAAATATCACCCCAAAGAGAAACTGTATAGTTATCTGGACCAGAAAAATATTATTCTTTGATGAAAAAGCATGTGAAATTTGCAGCAGAGGCAAGCTTGGGTAGAACAATTAATTTTTTGTGGGATCAGCAAGACTTTTCATGCCTAACTTCTGTGACAATGACAATGACAATCAGAGCACAGTTTATAGAGTTCCAGGGACAAGACTGAAGAACTATTTTCAATTTTGCATTAAATGCGTTACACAACATTGATACAATGGACATCAAATTCAGCACCATGGGGCAGAAATATAATGCTGAATAGTTCCTTTGCAATTTTTTTGATTTGATATTTTGGAAATATTCAGTAGGTGGCTAAAAATGCTAACTAATTTCATTAATGGGTTTATCAATTTTTACACCTGCTGTTCAGGTTCATTATTTGACTTGCTGTGAACAACAGCAGTTGTTCCCTTGTCAGGGAATCTCTCATCCAGCAGAGAGTCTTATCACACGTCAATGGCCCTAAGAGGCAGATGATGGGGGAATGGTTTAGTAAAAGTGCGATAAAAGTCTGACATTCCACTTAATAATTATGTTTTCATTGAAGTAGAAAATTTCATGTTTCACTTGTACCATATAACGGCATCTGGAAGTGGTTTTCTTTCTAACCAGGCCATTTGAGATCTGTGCTGAGTATAAGCAATTGTCATTCTGCATTTTAGTAGGGGCAATAGCAGATGGGTCTGATGTAAAGATGCCTCTGACCTAGAGCAACCAAAGTGTTCCCAGCCCTACTGGCATCATGATGGATAAAGGATTTTCTGCTGTATAAGCAACTCTACCCTCCTCACACATATACATAGAAAACTGGGATCATTCCTGGATTATTCCAGCTGGCTTCCACTATGCCTGAAAAAGGTTAAGAATGCACAGGCAGCCTTTTATGTCTTTTCCTACCAAGTGCATGTCATTTCAGCAAACAGATACAATTTGATAAAGGCTCCTTATAAGAATTATTATGAGCATTTTATTTTAGAGGAGGGAAAATGAATAACTGTTTTCCCTTTCCTTTGTGGCATGCAAACTTCCTTACATTTACACATTATGCAAACTTCAAGGAGAAAGCAGTTAGTATGTCAGAGAACCAGCAATGATAACACTTGAGCAGAGCAGTCTGAAGCAGTCTCTTTAGTTTCACGACAGGCACATTAGTTTGGATGTTAGCTGCTTCTCCTTAATTGGATTGCTTGCATAAATTGCAATACAAGGTGGACATGTGATAGCTTTCTTTTTCACCAATCAGTCATGTCAAGAGAACCTTATGTATTTTATATAAAAAGTAGAAAAAATGATAATTTGAAGAGATGAGAAGATGGTGCAGAGTAAAAGCTGATATTCTTCCTTTATAACAGATAGCCCCAAGTTGTAGAGGCCATTATTTCTTGCATTTTCAGAGCAAATGAACTTGACAGATGGCTGTGTCACCTAAACCCCTACCTACCAACTTGATTATGCAGAAAACAATACAATAGAAAAGAAATCATTACTGAAGGAACCTGGTTAGTCCACAGAGGGCTGAGCGCTGCAGAAGAACAAAATTACAGTCGTGGAATTGAACAGCAAGAATACATTTAACATAAAGTGGGTTACAGCAAGGCAATCAGTCATGGCTAAAGCTATTGTCTAGGCTTGCTTGCATGGTATATGAAGTAATCTGTCATCTACCACTGAATTTATGCTTAGTTTATAGTAGAAAAATACAAAGGTTTTGCCAGGACATGTTCTGGTAGTCTTAAGTAGCTCAAGTACGGACCTATGAAATTAAAATTATGGGAATTCAGGACATTTTTCTGCTTTATATCTGTTTTGGAGGCCATTAGCACCAAAGTAGATTCTTCTCCCTTCTCCCCCGTTACTCAAACATTAACCAAATCACACTACTTAAGAAAGGACAAAACAGATTGGGCAAGACAAATACTCAGCACCAGTCCAGGTTACACAGCACTACCATTACTCCAGAAAAAGTTACTCTGAATTTTCTGGAAGTCTGGTTATGAATGACATCCAACAAAGCAGGAACAGAACAGAACAGCGCAGCACCTATTCCTGATGGCCCAGTCCCCACTTCGTTAATTTTTACACATTCTTTGCAAAAAGATAAAATCTCTTATCAATATTATTACTATTTCTCAGGGGTGTTATTATATGATCTCATACATCATTTACAACAAAATAGGCTTCCAGTCTCTTTCTATTTCTCCCAACAGTTTCAAGCAATACGATCTACTACAATATGCTTGAGGGCTTACCACCTGGTAAGACCTCATGTTAACTAATTATTTCAATTAACTACTTTTGATATAACCCAGATCTTCTAATTTGCCATTAACACCAATGAAAATATCCATTTTAGCATGCCATATAATCCACACAAGTGGAAAGTTCAGTTGCTTTCATTTTGCAATTCCCTTTCAAACGGTTGTTGAGAAAAAACACATCCTTAACAGAAAATATTTCATTGTTTTTGTCTTGGAGCCATGGCTACATACTTTGTTCATAACAACAAGGTAACTTGTTAAAGTAGTTGTTTTATTTGGTTTATTTTTTGTTTGCTCTGCAATGAAGAATAAATATTATGACTTCAATTTATTCTAATTCTTTTTCCTGAAACCATATTTAAGTCATGAACCAAAAGGATAAATGTGGCTAGACTAGAGTTGTCTTCATATAGGAGACTTAAATTTGATAGATGTTGTCTTCAGTACTCAAACTTCATTCTGTAAATAACATAAAGCCAAGATTTTCTCATTCCACTTATTCATTACATAATGTAATAACTTTTGTAAAATCTTCAGACAACTAAAAATCTTCCAGTGAAAGAACCCATCAAAAAGAAAGCCTAATACCAGCATCACCTATGAATCAATTATTGAATTTACAACAAAACAAAGCACACACAAAAAAAAATAAAAAGACATTAAGTATTTTATTTAGTAAGGGGAAAAAGGTAATCCCTCAAATACAGAACCCCAACCCGGATTTATTTTTTTTTTCAATTCAGTCAGAATCTCTTTTGTTGATATATAATTATTTATCTATGTGCCATCTTTCTTACTATTGACAAAGTGAATTTACGAAGTCACTATACAGATACATCTCAGCAACTGCAAATTGGGATTCAACTGACTAATAAGAAACAATTAAGTGCATATATTTGCAAAGCCATCAAATTACTTCCCTCTGTGCTGGTGTGTTGAAAAGAAGTGCTTCTCAGCACAGCTTGGGTCCCAGTGTACCATAAAGGAAGCTACACCACCCCTTCCTCCTGCAACATCTTTCTTTCAAACACATCATGATATGGATTATAAAGGTAAAGAAATAAGACCCCCAGATTTAGCTAGATTTTAAACACACCTGTAATCACCCTGCATCTTTTTCTACTCAACTCCTTTCGTTCATGTGAACTCTATGCCCAGATTTAATACTAGATATGTTTGTTCACAGAGGGGTGAATTAAAAAGGTTTAGTGCAAGTGATGAAGAGTCAAGGCTACTGGGAAAAACTAAAGGAGTGGGGAAAAAACTCCACCCATAGAATACAGTGGACTTCCCCCTCGCCCCAGAAATAGCTCTTCCTCAATTACCAGGCTTCTCTGATATTCAGTATGCACATGACTGGTTCCCAATTTTCCCCTGTCCCTTTCTAGGGAAAAAATCACTGTAGCACATCACGGAAAACCCACCCCAGTGGTCACCAAATACCAAAGAGTGGGAGTCTCATTCCCAGAATTCCTCAGCATCCTGAAAAAAAGACAAGGAAGAAGATGGAGTCTCCAAAAAAGAAAAAACTCTGTCTTCATTTCTCTGCCTCTTGGTACCATATTAAAACTCTTTCAGTCAGGTAAAGCCAAACAGTCTTTACAATATTTTTAGTGTCAGCATATAATGCAATCTATGCAGATGAAGCTTTCAATATTTCCCCAATGCTGAAATCAGTAGCAGCTCAAAGAGCTCTACTGCATCTGCTTTGGAGGGTTATGTCTCTTTTCTTGGTCTCGGGTCTGAATAGTGGGTCTTTGGAATACTTGGGGATTGAGATTAATTTGGGGGAGCAGAGAAGCGTTCACTTCCTCTTGTGAGGGATTATGAATAGCTCATTCAATAGGGCTCACATATCTTTCGCTTTTCCAGCAAAGAAATACTCTCTGCAATTTTTGTGTATTGGTGCAGGATTTCCAGATCTCTACTAGGTTGAACAAAATGAGTGCTTTTGGTAATGCTGGCATACAACCAGAAATCCCATGCTTGACTGCAGAATACCCCAAGAAAACCAGGTACTTAACAATGAAAGCTTACCTACAGAGTCTAGATGTAAACCAAGGGTGAGATATGTGTTAACTATCTTGCAAACAAAAAAACTTTGCCATGTGAAGCTTTCTGCTCCCATAGAAATACATAAGCAAGAAAAGAAATAAATTCTCTAGCCTGAACAGGGCAGTTTAGACTACAACTACTCATTTGGAAGAAGCTTTCTTATGGAGCACACTGGGCAAATACCTGCCCAAACCAAAACTGAACCACTCTCACAAGGAGATGCAGAAGAACAAACCAAATCAGAATAATTCAGCGGGACATCCACTCTGGAGTTCAAATAACATTTAAGCAACTGTATAACTGACAAAATAATGTAATTTCTATTAAAAACAGAGAAAATGAGCTTGGTAAATTACTCAACTACCTTCATAAGAACTGACCCTAGTTACAGTAGAGCAGAAAGGCCTATTTTGGTGTCTAATGTACTGAGAAAAAGGAAGAGGAAAACACAGATTTAAAACTCCTAAAAGAATTTGCTAAAAACTTCTTCAGTTCTCTTTTGAACAGCAATTCTCCTAATCTAGCCTTGACAAAAATGATGTCTTTGCCATATCCAGAATTTAGACACACATACCTCCAGATATCGATATTATACATTTACCTATACTATGGTAAATGTCCTAACTACAATAATCTTTTTCAGTCCTTTTGATTGCTATTCAGCTCACCTTTGAAAAATAATATTTTATCTTCTCATCATAGTTTCATTTGTGAACTCTTGCTCCTTCCAAAAGATCATCAGGATATTCTATGAGAAACTCAAGGGCTGCAAACATGCAAGGAAAGAAAAAAATTTTTCAAAGATGTCTCTGGAAGTCATTGGAAGGTGATGTTTCAGCATCCAAAATGTGAGGGCCATTGTGAGGATATGCCCAACATCTAGGGAGGAACAATAATTAAATTCTAGAGACTGTATTTATTAATTTATTGATATATGTCTGTATCACCTCAAATCTGGTGTTGGACTGGGACAGAGTCTAACAACTAGGTGCAAAAAACGTTCTCTTTTCCCCTCTGTTCTTATTAAATCTTGAAATAATTGAATAGTTCACATCCTTTCCAATAAATTAAATTAGTTCAGAAGTAAAATTTTTTTAACATCCAGAATGTCATTCTGATGTCTATTTTACCTGAAAACCTCACAACCTGACAACTAGCAGTTTAGCACAGCTTTATCAAGACCCTTAGCTTCCTGATTTCAGACATTTTACTCCCCTCCTTTCATGTGCAGTCAGAATTTTGCCAGAGCAACCCACGCTTCTCTTGCTACTCAAATTCCCAATATCCGTCAGATTAATGCCAGGATAGGATGTAACAGTGATCCTCTTCTGCTGATGCACTCTGTACTCTGAAAAAAAAAATATCTCTCATTTAAAACTAAACAGCAGATTACAAAAATCACATTCTCCCTCCTCTAACCTCTGTCTGTGTTTTCACTTTATCCACGGTAGATTTTGATCTTGGCTTTGTCATTTCCTGGTGTACTTTCAGCCTTTCACCTGAGTCAAAGACACATGTTCCTCACGGGTTAAAAACTGCTTTGGGGGGCAACTTTCCTCATGCTTGATACTTAACATATCAGCTACTTGTTCAGCGCAATTTTGATGTGTTTTTCTGTAGAGTAAGTAATCCAAAGCTTTTCAGTTACTGTGTGAAATAAACATATATGTGATTAATTGCTCCATTCGATATTATTAACTTACCAGGGATATTTTATTTTGATTAGTGGGCTGAGTGCTAATGTCACTGTAAAATCTAGAGTTAAGAAAGATGTCACTGAGTTACTCTCCCCTAGCAGGATACAGTTGTTCCCAGATGTATGTCAGATAATAGTTGTTCATCTTACTTTAAATAACAATCTCACCTTGGAGTTTATACCTTGTCTTTATTTCCCCAAGTAATGATATTACAGTTTGGAGTTTTTATTAAAAACAATGCTTTTTTCCTCTACATTGACTCTGCAAACATAATTAAGGACAAGAAATTGATCTGATTAGTTGCTGACACTGCAATTTTGCAGCTGATGAAGTGCACTTCAGTAAGTAATGTTCACTGGCTGCGACTACTTTGCTCGTGTGCTGCTAGAACTGGGATTCCCTCAGAACTAGCACACTTCCCAGCTAGCTCCAGGACTAACTTGGACTGCAGAAGTTTTGTAGATATGTGAAGATATGAGATCCTTTCGCTTTCAGTAACAGCTGCCCAGACTCCTGGTACAAGTATTAAAGCAGATGGGATATTTAGATGAAATCAGTCTAGGGCATCATTCCCTGCCCATTGACATGGGAGCTACTTACAAAATGGGTCACTCTAATGGGTAGCATGTGATCTTGTTTTCTTCTAAAGACCCTACATACTATATGTGAATGTGAAACTAGCACAGCTGTGGTAATTAAATATCTGTCTTTCTTTGTTTGTTTGCTGAAATCCAGTTCTAGAAATTAATAAGTATGTGAAATGCTCTATGAATTCAAACTAACACATACACATAACTATGTCTAATTATTGCTTTTGTAGTGGCTGAGTGCAGTAACCTTTTCTCTTTACCAGTAGGCTGTAGAAGAGTCAAAATTCCAGGACTTGATCCTGTTGCTGCCTACTCAGATGTTCTGCTTATAAAAAAGTTAATTGTGTACTCAGACACTGGCTTTTAAAGATGAATCTCACCTTGCTCTCAGAGTTCAAAAACCACTAGAGTTTGCAACTTTAATTCTCAAAAACTTTTCTTCATATTCTACAACATGCTGCAAGGCAGTTCACAATTCTTAGTTGTTCACAGCATTAATTTACTTTATTGATGACATCATCAGTATTTTGTCACTGTAGAGTTTAGTTGTCCTGAGTAAAGCTGACCATGGAAGTTTTAAACATTGATTTTTATTTTTTTTCCCTTCTCTAGCATGAGCGAATGATTTATCATCTTCTTCTGGGACATCAGCCAGAGGCAAGAAATAGCTCTAATAACATGCTCTGAAGTGACTTATACGAACTATGTGTTTAAAACGTGGTCAAATAATATGCTATACCTGGACATAGGAACATCAACCAGCAGCAAAGACAGGAAAGATTTTTATACAAAAAAATGATACCTGCCACATACCAAACACAGAACCCAATTTTCATTCAAAAATAATTGAGATAATTTGAATATATAACATTTTGAACTTGATTTTTATTATTTAAAAATTTCTGAATAAAAATATTGTTAAATCTATGTCAAAATTAGGAAAAGTCAGAATAAAGCGCAAGTTTCATGTAGAAACTTTCTTTCTCAATAGGGATTTTGATTTAAACATCACTAACTTTATTAATTTTCTTTCCTTGACATTGTGTCACAGTACAATATTGAAAAAACAAATCTAATGCAAAAGAAGACTGAAGAATTACAACCATTGTACTACTTACAGAGGAAACATGAGGGCAGTGATGAAAAATAATTTCATAGGATTCCTATCTCTCTGTTACTTCAGTAGATTCATGCATGTGCATGCATGAAAGGAAAACAGATTGGATGCAATTAGATGCTACATTTCCTTGGGTGACAAAGCTGGCTATTTCCTGATTTATGTAGCAGTCCCATAAGCAGTCATGTTGGCACTACTGATCCAGCAGGAGAAGGAAAACCAGTAGTACAAGAATGCGAAAAAATGACAAAATGTTAAAGGAAATAGGACCTCCTTATGCTGGAGGGAGAGGAAAAAACAGCAGATAGTTGGAGGAATGCATTTTACAGATAAAAATTAATTATAATTGAAGGAGCAACTAGAAATAATTTACAAACAAATTTTTAAATTGGTCTCAGAGTTAAAACATTTCTAACGTGCAAAAAGCCCAGAAATAAAGAGTGGGAAATATGTACATTTTCACTTTGCATATGTGCAGTCTAAGCAAAAAGAGGTACTTTAGGCATATGTGGGAAAGTAATGACAAACATTTACATTAAGTGCATTTGGTCTCTTTCTTATTTGTTTTCCTGCATTTTTATTTGAGGAACTTTTTGGTCTACTAAATGTTCATTTGAAAAGACTGGAGTCAAAAATGACATGTTTATAAACATGTTATGAGCTTTGGCTACGTGCAGAAATGCACTTTATTTTGTGAGTGAATGGAAAGCATTGTGGACAGGACCGGAACTGTCTATACAGGTAACATCATTCAGTAGTTCATACAGTCATTCATATACACTACTAGGCCAGGTTTTTAGTTGAGATAAATGAGTGTAGTTTGATAGTTATATGATGCTTTGCTCTCCATTTTTTTGATGTTTCTGCCTCATATAGATAGATTCAAAACAAAAATTCTGTGATTCTAGGTGTTTAGATGCTCAAGAGAATTAACTTATTTCTCCCAGGCAGTAGTACTGACACAGAAGACTTTCTAGTTTGTTTTCGTTTGTTTGTTTGTTTGTTTGTTTTAATTACAGTACACTCAAGATTGTTAATCCATCAGAAATGAATTATTTTAATTTACCGTTAGCTTATTGCAGTAGTAAATATTTGCGTAAAGTCAGGTAAAACATGTTACAGTTTACTAGGGTCCAGTCCAATGGTAAAACACATGAACACCAGATTATGTTAAATAATATTTGGGAATAATAAAAGTCTGAAATATCTTTTTCTAAAACTTCTTCTACGTGGCAAAAATTATCCTAAAAGAATGGAAATTAATTCTTCCTTTTGCAAAAGTGAAATCAGTAATTATTTTTTAACAGAAATGCATCAGCTGAGTATTTTGAGCTTTACTGAGATTTCTCTTCATATATTTTGAAATCCATCAAATTTTGAAAAAATTACTTCTAAATACTTATTTCTTTTTAGAAATAAGAGTTGACCACAACTCATACCTCTTGTATAGTTATGCCCTTCTCAGTGCATCAGAAGCAGAGAATTTTAATTGTATTTTATGTATTTTAACCTCTTCCAGGCCTTGGATCTTTTGAATATGTGATTTCACCATCTCGTTAGTCCATTAGACTCTCTAAGGCTGTATGTACTTGGTGTACAAGGATGGTGTTCAGTATTCCCCAAAGTCACTGCTCCCTCCTAATTTAACTTGTCAGGATAAACAGGTTTTAAGTAACACTCTCTTTGAACAACCATTTCTGCTGCAGGAATTACTTGGAAGCCACCGAGAAGAGAAATTCTCTTCCTTTCCTCTATGTAGGACGCAAAGGCAAATCTCTGCCTCCCATTTCAAGGGATTCGGATAGGTTGGGGAAGAGCAGGTTAGTGCCGGCTGTGCGCTTGATGTGAGCACCATCTGGCAGTTGCAGGGTAGGGTGACTCTGGGGGAGCACTGTCAAGAGCACTCTGCTGCTGCTCTAAAGAGGAGCAACATTAACATCTTGCTGCTGGTTTTAGCATATGTGATAACAGACTGAGACTGGACATGACCACTTCTTATAGGACCACATTTCCCTTGCTGATGAGGGATCCATTTCTGTCTTTGTACTACAAGAAATATGCGTTTGGGCTTTATTCGCCTTGTGCCTTGCTTAAGCACACAAACCAGTGTCCTGAATGTTTATTTTCCAAATCTACTGGGTTCCAAGGTATGTGCCAAAAACTTTTGGGGTTTTCAGGTTACACTGTGTAAGATATACCTGCAAGCTACAGCACTGAATCCAAAGGAACATTTATTTCCTATAAGAAGAGATAACTCCTGAGGCAGATTATTTTTAGCACACAAGATGCTGTAATAAACCACTTCCCAGGTGTTACTTGGACAATAAGTCAAAGCAGGAAGCTACCAGAGGCACCCTACACAAAGAATAATCACAGGAGCAGATATTGGCACTGAAACTTAAATACAAATCTCGAGCTCTGAAATGATGTTCTGCTTGCAGTCTTTGTCCTACCAGCTACATACTCATGATCCTTCATGTGTAGGCATTATGTAATGTTCCTACAGATATTTGGATGGACTTATAAAGCTACCTTCTGGAAAGGGGGGCAGAAGAGTGTTAATGGGAAAAAAAAATAAAACAAAGATGACTAGAAGAACTGTAGTAGTCTTGTTCATGTCATATGAAAGTATGTGAAGAATTAATAAGAATTAATTCCAACATACCAAAACATTCTGGTAAACATTGGGATAGGCATAGTTTAAGTTACTGAATTAATAGAAAGCTGAGTAAATAAATTTACACCCTTGTATATAAATCCCACCCACTTCTAGGAGCTGCAGATGACTACATAAAATAAAAATAGTTCAACAACCCAAGAAAGGTCTTTCTAGGTTTTCTGTATTTTGTAGGTCATATTATCATATTCTCCCAGGCAACTATCAGTAAGACAAGAGGGCATGGTCTTAAGCTCTGCCAAAGGAGGTTTAAGTTAGATATTAGGAAGAAATTCTTTACAGAGAGGGTAATCAGACATTGGAATGGGCTGCCCAGGGAAGTGGTGGATTCTTCGTCTCTGGAGGGTTTTAAGATGAGGCTGGACGTGGCACTTAGTGCCATGGTCTAGCAACTGTGGTGGTAGTGGATCAAGGGTTGGACTTGATGATCTCAGAGGTCTTTTCCAACCCGTCTGATTCTATGATACTATCATAGAACCATAGAATGGTTTCTGTTGGAATGGACCTTTAAAGGTCAACTAGTCCAACTTCCCCTGTACTAGATGTTCCACTAGATCAAGTTGCTCAGAGCCCTGTCCAATCTGGCTTTGAATATTTCCAGGGATGAGGCATCTGCCACCTCTCTGGCCAGTCTGTTCCAGTGTCTCACCACACTCATTGTCAAGAATTCCTTCTTTATGTCCAATCTAAATCTATCCTCTTTCAGTCTAAAATCATATCCTCTTGTCCCATTGTAATAGGTCCTCCTAAAAAGTTTTTTCTCATCTTTCTTATAAGCCCCCTTTAAGCACTGAAAGGTTGCAGTGAGATCTCCCTGGGCACTTCTCTTCTCCAGGCTGAACAACCCCAGCCCTCTCAGCCTGTCTTTGTAGGAGAAGTATTTTTGGGCCCTCCTCTGGACTCACTTCCACAGGTCCATGTCCTTTCAATGCTGAGGACCCCAGAGCTGGACACAGCACTCCTGCTGGGGTCTCAAGAAAGCAGAATAGCAGAATCACCAAGACAGCAGAATCACCTCCCTCGACCTGCTGGCCATGCTGCTTTTGATGCAGCCCAGGACACAACTGGCTTCCTGGACTGTAAGTCCACATTGTTGGCTCATGTCCAGCCTCTCATCCACCAGCACCCCAAAGTCCTTCCTGACAGGGCTACTCTTGATCTGTCTATCCCCCAGCCTGCATTGATGCTGAGATTGCCCTGATCCAGAAGTAGCACCTGGCAACTGGTCTTGTTAAACCATGGGCCTACTTTTTGAGTTTGACCTCTAGATGACATCTCATCCTTCAGGGCAAGTCAACTGCAAGATCTAGCTTCCTGTAATCTGCATTTTCTGTCACCCTCTTAAAGGAGCACATCTTTAAGATATTTCATTTGTGTTTCTCTGCCGTCTCCTATTGCCTCAGGAGCCCCTGACTCACCTCTGTAAGACTTGAAGTGTTCTGCAGTGTACACAGCATGTCTCAGAGCAACAGGCTGAGATCCTTCGCTAGCACACCATCCCTGGAACCTTGGTGTGTCATCCCACATTTTGTCACAGACAAGCCTGATATTATCTCCTTCCCCCGTCAAGTCTTTCGTACTTTGTTGTTTCTAGGGCTGGATTCACAGCAAAGTAATTGGTACTAATTAGAAGCTACCACTTAAGAGTAAATACAGCCACATCACTGTGAACTTTTCATACATAATTAGTACTCACTATCAAAGGAGTGATACAACCAGCAGTTAGGATCAGGCTACTGAAAATGTCACCCTTTTGTAAAACTCTGACCAAAATAAACCTGAGGAACCCTATAACAACATTATCACTGAACAAACTCCATTTTGCCTTCCACTATGGAGCTCAGTGTTTCCAGCCTTAGTGAACAAAATATCTTTAGAAGTGATAAGATTTCCATGATTTCAGGTTTTGCCTCTGAGAAACAAATCTAATTCCTACTACTGAGATAACAGGGAAACTTTGGTCCTGGAAGTGGCAAAATGTAGTAGGTTTTTTTTCTTTTTTTTTCCTTTCATATCATACTATTATAAAAGCAAAATTACATTTTGACAAATGAGACTGTTTTCAAAGTGTTAGAGTGAGATTTGGAAGCATAGAGGAATATAGATCTTTAAAAAAAAATTAAAATTTTTCAAAAACCAGTCTTTGGTGTTGAGGTAGGTCTCTTTTAATCCTCTGACAAAATTATATGGGATTCTGTTATAAGATAGTTCTAAAAACTTGTATAGAAAGTGATGTTTAATTGTGAAAGTTAGTGTTCCCGGTGTAAAAAAAAATCATAAAAGCTCCACAGAGCTCCAGAACCGGAGACCTGCCTTACATTGCTTGCCACAAGAAGACCTTGTCCTCATTTTTACAAGCAAGTACCAGACCTGACCTGTTAGTCCACTTATGTAAATAATAAGTCCAATTCCCTTTGCAAGCTCCTGCTAAAGCTGTGCCATTAGAGCCATCGTGTCATTTAGGCTGTCAGTGGAGAATCAAAGACTGCCTGTGCTGCAGCAGCCCAGTGCTACGTTTCTAAGAAAATGGGCTCTTAAAAAAGGAAATGTCACACCGCAGTGTGAGAGATAAACAGAGGTATATCTTTAGAGCAGCAGGCAGGGACTGTAGAAACACTTTCTGTAAATGACTTTGATCCCCTAGTGTGATGAATCATGGAGTCGCAAATCCTTTTTAGCTAATTGCTATCAGCTTGTGAGATTTTTCCTTCCATGTTCAATATCAATTTTCAGGGCCATAGGAGATAGCACTTCTCCCCGGAGTCTGCCGGCGACTTACCGCTAAAACTGAACTAGCACCACTTAACAGTTTAAAGAGGGAAGTCATTTAATATGACACTGCTGCTAGTAACTAAAAGGGAAAATATTGGGGCAAATACAAGGAATAGTAAACCTTTTTACTGTGAGTGACCTGTCTTTGAAAATGTCCTTTCCATATCCACATAGTATCAGTGCAGCTATCTCAAAGTAAAAGAAGCTGTAATTATTCAAAACAGATACACTGAGACTTGGGAAAAAGGAAAGTGAAATTTGGTTATTTTTCAGTTCTGATGACTTCCTCATTAAAAACTGCATATAAAAAAACTTTTTTAAGACTCTCAGAACCATACTATTGGCCCGAATAAGAAATTTAGAATATCTCTTCCACCAGTGAATTTTAAATAAAAACACTTACAGCACAAATTTTACTCCCTTTTCACTTTTGGGACAATCAAATGAAAATGTTTCAGATTTTCAAGAAAATCTAGAATCCTTTCCTGTTCACTGGAATTTTTCTGTAAAATTTTGTCATCACTGTTTATTCACAAAGTTATGCATACCAGAGGTTACTTCTTTGAAGCATAATGCCATAGGCACCTTTCGAGACTACAGGAGGACACAACTCCATGCAACATCTGAACACTGCCAGACTCTTACAAATTCTGAATTCATATTTGTCTCTTGGCATTCAGTAGCCATTTAATGCAGTCAGCATCTCCTACAGTCAAAACCGTTTGGTAACTTGGATTCAGTATCAAATGTCATGGCACTTAAAATCTAGACTTTACAGAGGAGTGAAAGATTAGTTGGTTGTGTAAAGCTGGAAAAAAAAAAGTGGTTAAAAAAGTCTAGGAAAGTTTGCTTGAAAAAAAAGCAACAGAATTCACATTTGATGAGTTCTTTTAAGCTAAGCTGAACTTTCACTGTTGGTCTTATGTGTCTTGACAGTTATTCACTGGTATTTATACTCTGAGCAATGACAGTTCTCTACCCTAGATTAGGAATATTTTTTTAATCTGTATATGAAAAAAACAATATGGTGCCCAGGGACTAAACTCATCCATTTAAGGATGATCATATAAATATAATATGAATGTCCAACAAAGCATAACTTCAGAGTGAATTTGGTTTCATTTGCCACAGGCAGGACAAGAGTTAATCACTAAAAATGTTCTGAGACAAATTTTAAAAAATAAACATTCTTGTTGGAAAAATAAATAAATAAAACCCATTTGTTTTTTATTCTTTCTTGGAATGTTTTCCATTTGTTTCCTTATCAAGAAAAATATCTATTATTAAAGTAGATATGTATTTATTTGAGGTGGGATAGACTTCAAAGATGGAAATGAGACAACAATTATAGAATTTTAACATGCAGACTGAAAACATAAAATATAAATCAAAATAATGTTTTACCATTAGCTGAGCACCCAGATTCTGAGCTGGTATCCAAATTATTTTCCTTCCTAGGGAAGACAGGTAAAATGTTGATGACAAGGCTCATAGTTTTGAATGCTTTCCCAATTTTGAATACTTGCCTGAGTTTTAAGTGTCCTCCCTCGACTGTTTCTTATGGAAACTTCTTAGCACATGGAGCTGCTGCACCTGCTATTCTGTGTGACGTAAGAGTAGAGTAAGACACTTCTCAGCTTCCACCTTGCATCTGAGTTCCACTTCACAGTGTACATTCAACTTGTATGTATTTTTTAGTATCTTCCACTAAATATCCAAGGGAGAACACAAAATTTCTCATGGTTTTTTTCCCTTGTCTTACCTAGAACTTTTCTTCTCTGAAAAGTGACTCAGCCTACTGTTTGATCACAGCATCTTCACTGGTGAATTCAAAGTACCAGTATGATGCCTATTATAAGACATTGGTTCATAACTTCCTCATAAATAAGAAAAGTTGAACTATTTCATATTTCTATCATATTTGCAAAGATCTTACTTTAAAGAAGCAAGGATAGGAGACTGGAGGATCAAAATTTTTATTCAGAGAGAAAAAAGTAGTTGTTAACTTTGACATGAACTGACTTGATAGTAGGGATCAAAGTCTGAGAAAGTCAGGCAAGTAGTTTGACTCTAGGATACTCTGATTTCCTGACTTATAGAAAGTTCTTCAGTGAAGTTTTATGTTTAAAATTATTTTTCCCTTTTTAAAGGAAATTAAAGCAAAGTATTGTCAAGCAAATTCACTGTAAAATGAAAGTCTTCAAGGCTGGATGAAAAGATTTAGATTTTTCTGATGATAAAAATAATTTGTGAATTTGCATAGAAGCTACAGCTGGTATTGCAAAGTAAAAAGCAATACCAATACTGTGCTTAAGTAAATCCTCTTCATTTGAAAAAACCTAAATTTGTTTTAAAGCTAAAAAAAAGTCACATGACAAAAGGGGGCAGTCACATAGGTTACACAAAGTTCGGTGGGAAAATTTTGTCCGTTTTCTTTTCTGATAGTGATAAAATTATGCTCTTAAAGAGTATCATAAACTATCTTTAATTTACAAACAGCAAATAAATTAAAATTCTAGCTGGTCGTACAATTTTCAGGCAATTTAGCCTTAATTTCAATCCAACAAATCTGTGTAATTTTAGCTACTTAAAACTTCATCAGGTAAGATCTGGATCAAGTTTTTTTCTCTCTCACTGGAAATGAAGACTGACTTGGGATTTGAAATCTGGATCTAAGAAAACTCAGTATGACACTAAGTCAATAGAAGTATTCTTCCAGCAGATTTTTACTGACGAATTTGGAAAAAAAATGGGAAGATAACTTAGGATTAATGACTCAGCACGAAATCAACCTAATAATTACCAATGTGGCATTCTCATAAAGAGAGCAAAGATGTGTTTTCTTTCGTGACAAAGGCAATGTATCCCCATTTTTCAAAAACCAGGTGTTAGTACTCACAAGTTAAACTCTTAAATTCTCTTCTGATTCAGGGATTTGGCCCAATTATTGCAGTAATTGTTTAAAAAAAAAAAAAGGTGCCTATGATAAAAAGTCTTAATATAAAAGATACATAAATTAAAATTGTGTTTTGAAGAATTTGAAACAGAAGCATAGTATTTCTCAAGCACAGGAAAAGCATTTTTTTATAAACAGAGAAGCTAACTTTTGCTAAAAATTGACCTTACAAGTGTTATATAAATTTCCTAGTAGAGTAAACAAAATTTTCTGGTATTTATTGCTGATAAATTTAATTATCAAAATAGTGTTTCAAATAGCCAAAAAAATGTGATACTCATCAGTAAAATTCACTGGATTGTTAATGATAGCAAAAGAAACCCTTAAATTTTTGGATCTGCTCTGAATTTGCTGAAAATGTTTGAATCAAATATTTTAGCTACTGTTCTTTTTTTTTATTCAATAGCTACTTTAGCTGTAGCTATAAAAAAAATAATGTATAATAAAATAAAAATGTACAAAAAAGTGCATTTGAGCATTTAAATAAATGGGGGCAAAAGCACACAGGCTATTCTAGGACCTGCAGGGATGGCACAATACCAGCTAAAGTAATGCATCTCAGTAAGTGTGACACTGTGTTGTTAGTGAGAACATCTATTGGAGTTTAGAGCAAAAACTAAGTTTGCCCATTTTCCACCTTTTAAAAATCTTTTAAAAAAGAGCATCTCTGGCAATCACTGTCAGCACCATTAGTTCGGTGCTGTTCAGCACCTGGGCAACTTCAACAACACTAAAAAACACAGTCCTGCCCT